CAGGCTCCACTCGGAGATTGTAGAATCTGGCGAATGTGTTGGGTGTCGCCCAGCCTAGAGCTCTGCAGATGTCTGTTAGCGAGGCGTCATGCGCTAGAGACCAAGAGGAAGCCACACTCTGTGTGGAGTGGGCTGTCACACCAAGGGGGCATGATCGACCTTGCTGCTGGTAAGCCAAAGCAATGGCGTCCACTATCCAGTTAGACAACCTTTGCTTGGAGAGAGCCTTTCCCTTCAGCTTCCCACCATAACAGACATAGAGCTGGTCTGAGGTCTTGAAACACTGCGTTCTGTCTACATAGGCGCGGAGAGCGCGTACTGGACAGAGCAGTGCCAAGGCTGGGTCTGAACTTGGAGGTTCACCACCTGGTCCCGAAGGGGAGTGGTGGGAACCTTGGGCACATATCCAGGCCGGGGTCTCAGGATCACGTCAGAGTAGGCCGGCCCGAACTCCATGCACGCTTCGTCAAAGGAGAATGCGTGCAGGTCCCCTACCCTCTTGATGGAGGCCAATGCAACCAGGAGCGCTGTCTTCATAGACAGGAAGTTAAGCTCCACTGATTGCAAAGGCTCAAAGGGAGCACTCTGCAGGGCAGTTAGAACCACTGAGAGGTACCAAGAGGGAACGAGAGGAGGGCGAGTAGGGTGGTAGGGTACTCAAACCTACCTCATCCCGTCCAGGAGCCACACGTGGAGGCTCCAAGATCGGGACAAGGGTGCCATAGGGTGCCCTGTCCCTGAGAAAGGGGGTCCTTCCTCAGAGGAATTGGCCAGGGAGGTGCTGTTCGCGAGGAGTACAAGTTCGGAGAACCAGGTCCGGGTGGGCCAGTGAGGCGTGACCAGAATGACCTGCTCCTCATCCTCCCTGATCTTGCACAGGGTCTGCGCAAGAAGGCTCACTGGGGGGAAACACATATTTGCGGAAGCCCCGCGGCCAGCTGTGCGCCAGTGCGTCTGTGCCGAGCGTGCCCTCGTCAGGGAGCAAAACGGCGCAATGGGTCAAGTCGTGGGAGGCAAACAGATCTACCTGAGCGTCCCCGAACTGGTCCCAAATCAGCTGAACCGACTGGGGATGTTTATGGTGGCGACACGTAGGCTAAATTGAAAGTATTTGGCGGTACAGAAAAAGTCTTTTTGCGGGCGGAAGCGAAACATAAATGTTGCGGGCGGGAGAAAGTAATATAGAAAGTAGTTGAGAACGTCAGTTACAACGACCCACGTATTAAAAAATAGCCGGGTTTAAATCATTTAAATGTTTAAATTTGTTTTCTTAATTTCCATATAATATTTTGTGTTATGGGATCAAATCACCTGGATATTTAGAGTAAGAACATACAGACTTTGGCATACAGTACTAATTTAGAATGCTATATGGTTTTTTTTTTTTGTTTTTTTTTACAAGATGGGAAAAGTTTTATTAATTCTTGTTTACTTCTGTTCATTTAATTTATTTTTATATTAGAGCATTTAAAGTGCTTCTTAATGATATGATATTATATTTTAAGTTAATATATTTATTTTTGTAACCCATTAGCCCTCTGTGTCTAAATAAAGTAATAAAAGTCCCAGAGTTAAAAAATGTGTAAAACTAGCCTGTGTGCGACTTGGTATGACCTGATGACTAAGTTGCGACTTGACTTGACTTGACTTGACAAAGAGTATGACTTGATTGACTTTGACTTGCAATGTTAAGACTTGGACTTGACTTGAGACTTGCATTTAGTGACTTACTCCCACCTCTGCAAAATAGTATAGGAAAAGATGTTTATATGTCATTTTGTACACGAATACATATTAATAAATTACATTTTGATGTTTGAAAATCTAGGTTTTGACATAAATTCAGATATAAATGTCTTTTTTTTTAATCCCATTATTTTTGCCTTTACAATTTCATGTCATTTTATTTTTTAAACAGTCGAGTCCTGGTGTCCACTACAGAGGTCATAGCATATGAATAAAATATAGCCTATATATATTTATATATATTCATTTGTTTCTAATGCTCTTAACAATGTGATTACATGAAAAAAAAATCAAACAAATTATTTGAAAAAAACTTTCTGGGCCTCAGGAGGATATAAAGTTAGGATAGGCTACAATAACATCGTAGTGTGTCTTCTGAGTGACGGTCCAACATCAGGTAGGCTAAATATAGGCTCTTTAAAGCTACACAAAATTTGTAAATGTTATTGAAATAAACAGACAGCCGCATGTTTCCCTATTTTTCGGATTTTGGAAGATGCGTGATAAAAGTTGAAATTGTTGTCGTAAAGGCAAGAGCAACAGTAATCCAAATGTAGACGGGTCTGTCGGCGCCCTCCCTAATGTCACATATAGCGAATATGTATTGGTGTACGCCACGCAGCGCCGCGTCAGACACGCTTCTGGTGTGCAAAGACACAGAAAACGCGACGCAGCCGCCACGCAACAGAAACGCCACGCTCACGCCACGCAGCCAGTGTGTCTCCGGCCTTAGGCTACGTTCACACCGCAGGCTGAAACGACCCAATTCCGTGGTTTTTTCCCCGCAATGCACCTGTATCTGATCTTTTCATGACAGTCTGAACGACACACATCCGATCTTTTCAAATGCGACCCAGGCCACTTGGGTATGTGGTCCAAATCCGATATGTATCCGATCTTTTGAAATGCGACCTCAATCTGAACGGCCAGGTCACATGTATCCGACCCGCACGCCATTGATATGCGACAAACGTCATAATTCTGCGTTGAAGTAGGCGGAAATGAGAAGATAAACAAGTTAGCCATCGTACGATAGCACGCACCTGTAGCTAGCCACTACACTCCAACGCGTTGCACTGTTATGGTCCGCAGCAGACGTGTCTCTTCCCGTGACAGAGTTAATCGAAGGCTCAAACATAATCGAAGGTGGATCTGGTCATTCGGAAGTTACTGATGAATTCTGTATTAGTGAAGCCACTCACATCAGTATCCCACCACTCCTGGCTGTGACTCCGCACCCACACAAATAACTTTAATATTGCTAAACGAGCTCCACTGTTGACATTCATGTTTAGCTACTTCCACAAACAAGTGACGTCGTTGACCGTTGAGTACTCTTCTGCGCATGCGGGTCACTTCTGGGTCATTTCATGTTCACACAGGAGATCAAAAAAGGTCGCATTTAATTGGAAATGTGAACGCCTCGCAAAAAAATCAATTTTTTTAAAAAAATCGCAGCCTTACTTATAGTCAACAGGATGTTCAAAAGGGACCATCAAAATAAAGTGTAACCCTCAACTTTAGTGAAGCATTAGCTTAGTTTAATTCCAACTTAATGGAATTTCTATCAAACACATTAAAATGTCTGTGTAAATGCAAACTTTTGAATGCTTCTGTGATTGCTGAGGACATTCCCATCTTCCTACAACTGAAGAAACCACTAGAATGAGAAATAAGAGCAGAAAAAAAACTTATACTTACTTTGATCTTAATTAAAACAATAGCAATAACCAGGCTTATCAATAGTCCTATCCCACCCATCACCAGTGCTATTAAGGTTGCTCTTGAAGATTCTAAAAAATAAACAAACAAAACAAACAAACAACACTTGAAAATGCTATAATATATTGAAACACCAATAAAAGGCTGAAACAACTAACTGATGAAATAAATAATAATAAAAACAAGTTATTAGTTAGGTCCAGATAGCTTACTGTAGGTTAGTTAGGTAATTATCATTAACCATTTTTTTTATTGAAATACAGCTAAAATCTAATTAAATATAAATATTAGATGAAAAAAAAATTAAACAAAAACAAATATTTCCATGGAAAATAGCTGAAATGGTTTAAGTCAAAGTACTGTAATATAAAAGAAATAAAAAATGAAAAACGAAATAAAATTGTATAAAACCTAAATCGTACTTATAAAAAAACTAACAAAAATTACAAAACAAAAAAAAATGAATATGGAAAAAAAATCTAATTCAAAATATTACTACTAAACTATAACAGTATATAAATAATACTAAACAACACAGGTTGGCTGGTCCTAGTAACGGTTTGATTTTGCGTCGGACTGACTGCAATAATCTTCTTCATTTTTGGCTGAACTGTCCCTTTCAAGTTGTAAATGTTTAATATTGTCTTCAGATATCTATTTGAATAATGTTTTAATGATAAAAATCCCAATAAAAAAAAAAAAGATCAATTTGTCTAGTGTAATCTTGCTATTAGCCACATGTGGTAAAGATAGGTTAAACATTGTAGTAAGTATATATACAGTATATATAAACATAAATAGATGGTTACAGAATGGTTTTATATGATTAACTCAAATGTAAATTGTGCAGATTTTTTTTTTTAATGCATGAGAAAAGAGAAACACCAATGACTCATTATAATAAAACAAATCTACTTTTTGAACACATTTGAAGTTCTCAATAAGAAGGTACCTCTTCTCTTGAAACCCGCTTTCTTTAATGCCAAGAAATGTTTCAGCCAGTAAACGCACTCATGATTGTAGTATCGTTTCAGCACTGCAAGCTGTTTTCTGTCATTATTCCACTTCCGCACTGTGGGTATTGCCTGTGGTACAGATGTGTTGTATCTGAGCTTCTTCACATCCAGTGAGATAAAATCCTCTCCATCATAAGTGTACCCATCAAACCCTTGTGATAGTCCAGTCTCATCATCCCAAAAACAGCCATACATCCTCCGATACGTATGAACTCCTGGAGAAGAAAAAAACTACAACCTTTTTGGGAGAAAGTACAACTTCTGCTCTTTTTTGTTTAATGCACAAGTAGGGATGGGCGATATGACCAAATTCTTATTTCATGATATGAGAAATTATTTTGTGTTGTTTGATCTCATTTCTGTTAATAAAAAATAAGAAAAATGACAAAAACTAAGCCAAATATAAAATAACAAAAATATGAATGAAACTTTTTTACAGTGTATCTTCATGCCGCCCAACCGCACAAGGTAATCCTTTGACATTAAGAAATGTAGTATAAAAGCATTTTAACTCACCACCTGACTGATTGAATCGCTCCATTAGAACGGGAATGTTGTTTTTGTAGATCTGCTGAACTTCTTCTCTGATTTCAGTGTCTCTTTTCCACATGTCTTTATATGTAGAGTCTTTCATCCAGTCCTGTATGGGAATCAGCTTCTTTGTGTTACTGTCATAATAATCGATATGTTCTTTATCCAGTGTCGTTACAGCTGAAAACTCTGGAGTTCCTGCAATCGTCTGTTCATTTTTTCCAGTGTATGTGGTGATGAAGCTGTGTAACTCTGAACATTGAACAAAACAACACAAGACATAAAGCTATCAAGCATGGTTAAGAATCTCATAATGTCAAATCAAATAACCATATAAATGATTTCAATTTCACGAGAGTAGATGTTAAAAACTTCATGCTGATTTGTTCTCGGGTTTTGCCAAAACTAAGACGTAGCTTTACAGTAAACTATGCTTCACCCATTTACGCTTCTTTCCATATGGTGGTGTGACTCCCCTTCTGTCTGGCGTTAACGACTGCAGTGTACTTGGCGTGTAGCGCACGCGACGGCTGCAACTACAGTGTGATCTCCCTAGTGGACCAGCACCACAACTGTCTGGATTGAACCGAGTAGGGGACATCTCTAGGGTCTTCAAATGGGCACCTTCCGTCCTCAGTGTTTCGTCGACTAGCCCACGACACCTCAAGAGGGCTCGACAGTGACTCTGGCGTCCCAGAGTCACCCCCCTCCGTCCCCCACTCAACTCAGCCCAGCTTACTGACCTCTACGTCCCTCCTTCTGCTGAGGTTGCTCCTTCCTCGTAGTTCACATGTGACCTAACCACTATCTCACAATCTCTCCGCAAACCAACCATACGCGCCAACCCGTTTGACTAAGGCTGTCGAGCCCCACTGGTGCGTTAATATGCAGTTTCAGTGGACAACGGTTCCGTATGGCATACCACCTACCGCAAAACACAATATCTGCCCAACCACCAACCCTCATTCACGCAATATACACAGGAACGTAATAACTGTAATTACTATGCAAACAATGCAAAATAAACCAACAGACTCTTCGAGTTTTCAAGAGTTCTACGAAACCGTAGCGTGGCGGCCAGTACTCAGCCAGCTAGCATCTTTCCGTCTCAACCACAGCCAGTTGCTGCTCCTTTCTGCTGCTTCAGATAAGTTCTTTACTGTGCGACGCAACTCTTGGCCGCTGAATCCGATGTCTCTGAGGAACCGGGTTGTAGAGTGTGCCACAAAACCTCGACAACCCACTTCCACTGGATAAACCTGGACTCTCCATCCTCGCTGTTCTGCTTCAGTGGCCAGATGAGCATACCGCAGTTTCTTCCTCTCATATGCCTCATCTACCGCATCCTCCCATGGCACTGTTAACTCTATCAGTTGAACAATGCGTGCTGATCCAGACCACAAAACAATATCTGGTCGTAGGTTAGTGGTGGCAATCTCAGGTGGAAAAATAAGCCGTTGGTCAAGATCAGCCAGCATCTTCCAGTCCCTAGCAGCTTCCAGTTGTCCTGGGCGAGAATTGGTGTTAACACCTTTTCTTGGTGGTTGCTCGCCTGGGCGGAGGAATATTGTCTTCTGCGTGTAATGTTTTGCTAGAACAGGTGGCAACTTATTGGTCATGTTGCGCTTGCCTTCTAATGCTAAAGCCAAACATCGCAGTACTTGGTCATGGCGCCAAGTAAACCGACCTTGGCTAAGAGCCACCTTACATCCTGTCAAAATGTGCCTTAATGTGGCAGGTGATGAACACAAAGGACAAGAGGGATCCTCTCCTACCCAGAGGTTTAGGTTCTGCGGTGATGGGAGAACATCATATGTTGACCTAATAAGGAAACTGATCCTACTCTCTTCCATTGACCAAAGGTCTTGCCAGCCCATTTTGCGTTGTTCCACACTCTCCCATCTCATCCACTCTCCCTGCTTGGCCTGTGAAATGGCCTTTACACACCTCATCCTCTCCTCCTACCAGCTTCCTCCTTTGAGCTGGGCCTGCCTTGTGCCATTTAGGAGGAGCTAAACTGAGCCCAAAACCCCCTCTTCCATGCTGTACCTGTCCCACGATATCCCCAATTCGAAGGGCAGCCTTTGCCTCTACTACAGATTTATTTGCTGACCACTTTCTACCAGTTTTTAACACAGGGGCTGCCTCCCTTACACATTTGTCGCGTGACTCTACTAAGGTCATTTCCAGGCTTCTCAGAAACTGTTGGTATTGCCTCACCATTAATGAAGAATGTTTTATCTACTACCTTTCCTTTAACTATCGAGATGCTCCTTGATTTAGAGGGCTTAAATTGCATTCAACAAAAATGAAACAAAATAAATGTTTCCATGGAAAATAGCTGAAATGGTTTAAGTCAAAGTACTGTTATATAAAAGAAATAAAAAACTAAAACCGAACTAAAATTGTATAAAACCTAAATAGTACTTATTAAAATAAACAATATTACAAAAATAAATAAATAAATAATAATATGGAAAAAAATCTAATTCAAAATATTACTACTAAACTATAATAGCATATAAATAATACTAAACAATACTGGATGGCTGGTTCTAGTAACGGTTGTCTTCAGATATCTATTTGAATAATGTTTTAATGATAAAAATCCCAATGAAAAAAAAAAAAAAAGATACATTTGCCCAGTGTAATCTTGCTATTAGCCACATTATTCATTAGTTCTCAATAAGAAGGTACCTCTTCTCTTGAAACCCGCTTTCTTTAATGCCAAGAAATGTTTCAGCCAGTAAACGCACTCATGATTGTAGTATCGTTTCAGCACTGCAAGCTGTTTTCTGTCATTATTCCACTTCCGCACTGTGGGTATTGCCTGTGGTACAGATGTGTTGTATCTGAGCTTCTTCACATCCAGTGAGATAAAATCCTCTCCATCATAAGTGTACCGATCAAACCCTTGTGATTCTCCAGTCTCATCATCCCAAAAACAGCCATACATCCTCCGATACGTATGAACTCCTGGAGAAGAAAAAAAAAAGTACAACTTTTTTGGGAGAAAGTACAACTTCTGCTCTTTTTTGTTTATGCACAAGTAGGGATGGGCGATATGACCAAATTCTTATTTCATGATATGAGAAATATTTTACAACAATGATAAAAAAAAAACACAGTATATATATTTTGTATTATTTGATCTCATTTCTGTTAATAAAAATAAGAAAAATTAAGCAAATTACAAAAAAAGGCCAAATATAAAATTATAAAAAATATGAATGAAACAAAACTTATTGTGCTTAATGACACTCAAACACCAAATCCCAAATTCACCCATCTCTAAAAGTGTTCCTTTTCAGGATATTTTGAGCTTATAACTATATACAATTATATGTAATTTTATACCATGGTAACCAGATATATCTTCATGCCGCCCAACCGCACAAGGTAATCCTTTGACATTAAGAAATGTAGTATAAAAGCATTTTAACTCACCACCTGACTGATTGAATCGCTCCATTAGAACGGGAATGTTGTTTTTGTAGATCTGCTGAACTTCTTCTCTGATTTCAGTGTCTCTTTTCCACATGTCTTTATATGTAGAGTCTTTCATCCAGTCCTGTATGGGAATCAGCTTCTTTGTGTTACTGTCATAATAATCGATATGTTCTCCATCCAGGAAAGTTATTGCAAAAAACAATGAAATCTCTCCGTTTATTCCATTGTATGCGGTGATGAAGCTGTGTAACTCTGACCACACATTGAACAAACACAGACATAAAGCTCTCAAACATGGTCATAATGTCAAATCAAATAACTATAAAATACTATTAACCAAATGAATATTACATTAATTTGAGACACCAATCCCACTGAAATTCTCAACTTACTTTCTTTATACTTTGATATTTTAATCTATTCTATTACAAACATCTCATGGTTTTCTGTCAGTTCAACACACGGAAGTAGCTGAAGGCCTTGCTGACAGAGAATTCATCGTTTAAACTACTGTACGAAATGAATCTCACCTGAGTAAACCAAAGGTATGAAGATGAAGAAAATTATGCACTTCATTGCTGACGAAAATCCATGTATAAGATACACAATTTTTAAGTGTAGTCACCGAAGAGAAACTTTCAACTTTAAACTACTGAGCAAGTTACGACAACCTGTGAGCAAAAAGTTTCCTCCCTTCACTTCCGTGTTGAGGCTGTTTCTCTAGAGTTGGTGACGTCAGTTCAGTAACCGGTTTTACCTGTTGATTCATATGTAGCAAAGGCTAAAGAGTTTTACAGCGCTCTTCGACGACTACACATAGAATTGTGTGTCAAATAAATGGATTTTCGTCTGCAATGAGGTTAATCATTTTCTTCATCTACATGCCTTTGGTTTACTCAGGTAAGATTCATTTTGTGATGTCATTTTAACAACGAATTCTCTTTCAACAAGGCCTACTTCCGTGTGTTGAACAGACAGAAATGAAGAGTTTTCAAATCTGATATGTAATAATTTCTCAAACATCTCGTATAATATCCAGGATAATAGAACTTGTTCTTGAACTGAAAAGCAGGATTTGGTTTTGTTGAAGCTGCACTGAAAATGTTTCATTGTTATCCAGTTCTGTGTATTTGTCTCATGCATGCAGGTCTATTTAAACAGCAAAACCATAATAAGAATGAGAATAGCCTTGTATAAATGACAAAGTTATGCACATTTTAATGTAAATTAAAGAATATGCTTCCTGTGCAGGTCTATGTCTGTGTCCCTGTTCTGTAAAGATATAGTTATCCGTGCAAAAGTATTGATTTGAAATGAAAGTTGCGCTAGTCTCTTCTTAGTATGATGTATATCTGAGTAAAATGGCTTCTGTCACAAAATCAAATGTAGGGCGATTAAAGATTACGAGGCACATGAATAAAAAAAAGATGTGCACAGATAAATAAATAGTTTATAATAAATTACTGCAATATTCCATAAAATTGTCAATTTTGATTTTATGGTGCCTTTGCAAAAAAAAAAAATAATGAATGACTTGTTCCCTTTCGATACGGTTCACTCGCATTGTGTCGGTCGCTGACTCTTTGGGGGAAACTCCTGTTTCTCCGAAATACTGATTGAATCACATAGACAATTGACATTTAAGCCCGCCAAAACGGGCAGGGACGACTACCTATACAAGTCAACGCTGAATGCCATTTCATCTGAATTATTCTCCAAGCGTGAAGATCGTCTCCTTGCTTGACTCTGAAGAAGACGAAGAGAAGACAAAGAGAAGAAGCCTTCTGCTCGCCAGGCCATGAAGGTGCACATGCAGGGCTCTCACGCACTCCTCGAATGAGCACTGTGAGTGCGTTACCTGGCTGGGCTGTGCCCACGCTGAAGCCGCGCTCATCGAGACGAATTGCTCTCCTTGTCAGGAGCTTGAGAGAAGTTAACAGCAGAGTCACAGGGCCGAGCAATGAGTGACTAAGGACTGACCGAGGACTAAGTGAGCTCACGCTTAGATCCCGCGTACATCACTCTTTGCAAGGGGATTCCTTCTCCTGTGAAGACCAGAACCCTCATCTGGTGTGAGCGGTTTGGTCTATTTCTCAGGGTTCCGAGGAGGAATTCACTAATGACATTCACCATGTCAGTGGCAACTTATGATGCGGAGGAGTGGTCGAACATCATGGAGGACTCTGCCCCCCCAGGCCCCCCCCCCCCCCCCCCCCCGCCGCCTAAGGAGCCAGTTGATGTCAGGCCTGGTCTGGACGCCAAACTTATCAGTTTCCTGACCAAGGCTTATGAAGACCTCGGCTTGGAGTGGCCCCGTAAGAGCCTGCCCGCAGCCGCCTTGACAAACGGTTCCTGCAGAACTGCTCCATTCTTTCCCGAAATTCATGATGAACTGACCAAGACATGACGCTCCCCCCGACTTGGCCGGTGTCCACGCTTGGGATGAGTCTGGCCCAGACCCTGCTGCTTTCAAGGAGCTGTGCAGCGCTACTAAGAAAACGACCCAGGCGATTGGCCATGCGATGAGCAGTTTGGTGGTCATTTAAATTTAATAGAGATCTAGGACGTGGCCAAAACAGCTCTCCTCGACTCCCCAGTTTCTCTCACAGGCCCTGGCATGTACTTGCTGTCATGAGCACTGGGAATTTTCCAGTGGGCCGATCGAGCTGTGGTCCGATCAGCCAAAGGAGAGGTCAAAGGATTCAGATGAAATAGCATTCAGCGTCAACATGTATAGGTAGTCGCCCCTGCCCATTTTGGCGGACTGAAATGCCAATTGTCTGATTCAATTAGGCTTCAGTATTTCAGATAAAAAGCAGTTTCCCCAAAGCGTCAGTGACTGACACAATCCTTGTTCCCATTATCTCAGGGAATCAAGGTTACACGAGTTACCAAGACATTTTTGTATCAAAAAGAAATTTGACTTAACACTGTATGTATTTTGTATTTATATAGAAACCATTTTGAGAGCTTTGTGTTATTTTGTGTGTGTGTGTTGATGTGTGTTTATTTATTTTTTTCAGAGTTACACAGATTTTTGACCGCTTACACCAGAATAAGCGGCCAGACGTTTGCAGAAATCCCAGAGTTTTTTGCTGTAACGACACTGGATGATCAACAGATCGATTATTATGACAGTAACAAAAAGAAGCTGATTCCCAGACAGGACTGGATGAAGGAGTTTGCATCTACAGAACTGTGGAAGGAATACACTGATATCAGAGAAAAACTACAGCAGATCTACAAAATCAACAATTATGTTCTAAAAGAGGAATTCACTCAGTCAGATGGTGAGTTAAAATACATTATTACACAGCTCTCTGAAATGCTTGATTCTGATTGGTCAGTCATGAAATTCCGAGGTCTGTTTTTCCCCGATAATAACTGTTATCAGTAGCAACCTTCGACTGTAAAAAAATATGGACATACTCTCCGGGACGTCACTGTGGGTTTCTGAAGAGCATCAACCTTTTTGGCAGCGCGTCACTCCCAGATAACCGAAAAGGGTTATAAAAAAATGCACCCCCCTCACAGTTGTCAAGAAGGGTAAAATTAGTTATGTAGACCAAACCCCCTTTTTGCACCAGGCTGTAAAAAAAACATCTGCTGTAAGGTTTCTGCAGTATATAAACATGGGGTTTATAGGATTGTCTCTCTTTTGAAACTGTCTCTAGTGGCCAGGCGATGGACTGCAGTTTAAGTCACTTCCGTGTTGGTTTCAAGAGAGAGATCGGAAGGTTTCTGCTTGATAGCAACGCTGTATAGAGCGAAACAGTCGGGTTCCAGAAGTAAAAACTCCATTCATTTTCTCCATAAGGAAATTCATTTTTAACAATAACTTGTAAATTGTTAAAAAACGATTAAAAGACTTCAATACTTAAAGGGGTCATGAACTGGCTTTTTAATTTTTTTTATATTGTTGTCCGAGGTCAACTTATGACATTCGCTTGGTTTTTACATTCAAAAACATCAAAATGAACAAGTAATAGGCTATTTTCTACCCTAGTTTTGAGCCTAGCTCAAAAACGCTCGGTTTCATGGGCGCCTCGCATTGAAGACTTGGAAGTAAACGCCCACTGCTGTGAGTGGATAACAGTTTTGCATATTATAATGAGTTTCGTGTAATGCGCGAATCGGTGGGCGGGGCTAAACCGGCCGTGTTGAAGTAGGCGTTGATCTTCTTCTGCGGTGGTGGTGTTTTATCCTCTTTGTCGTCATAGTTCCCCACTTTGAAAAACAAGTCATTTGCTGAGCCTGGTGTCAATAAAAGCTTTTATTGGACTAACAAGAACGTTTTCAGTTCTGAAACTTACAGGATATTCTTATAATATGATGACCTCTTAGATGTCAAAAGCTCAAGGAAAATTTGATTTCTCAGTTCATCACCCCTTTAACCCTTAAAGACCTAGACCATTTTTGGAGCACCTGCACCGCCTGTCCTTTTCTTTGTTTTTCTAACCCATTATAGACGGTTTCAACGGCAACAACATAAACAAACGTTACTGCGCATGCGCGCTTTTGTGGCCCAAACTTAACTTCCGGTAGAGTCAATAACAACAGAGTTCATCTGTAGAAACCATAGACTTTTTGTGAGAAAAAAGTCAGAATTGTGAGATAAAAAGTCTCAATTCTGTCTTTTTTTCTCGCAATTGCGACTTTATTTCTCAGAATTGCAACTTTATTTCTCACAATTCTGACTTCTTATCTCGCAATTATGAGATAAAAAGTCTCAATTATTATTATTTTTTTATTCTTCATGGCCGGAAACAAGCTTCCATAATTATCTGTTGCTTATTATGAGTTTGTTACCTGTAACGAAGTGAGTGCTACAGATCCTTGAATTCTTGCCTGGCTGCCAAGCCTCTCATCGCACAGCGGTGATCCACGCTCGCCGTCTCCCTTCGTTTTTAGGAAAACGAATTTTTTTTATTTTTGATAAGGTATTTGTCCCAGAGCCTCAGGTTGAATCCCACAACACAACAACCTGAGCCCAACTTCAGTCTGCTCATCACCTTAATTTTCACTGCGTTTGTAGTCGGCGCCATATTACCAGAGAATGATATTATGATATTACCGGTTAACAAACACAGACCGGAAGTTAACTTCGGGCCAGCGCGTAACCCGGGCAACGCGCGTGCGTTCGATGAAACCGTCTATAGCAGTCAGCATCAAGTGTCATATATCATTTTTAACAGGAGAACTTGAAGTTTCAATCTATCTCATTTAAATAATCCAATTTTACATTTATTTTGTCTTAGAATGGATGAATGTACCAGATTTAAGAAAAACGGCAGCGTATTTTTTGTGATTTTTTTTTACTCAACTCAAACAAATCCTCCTGAAGTTTGGATTTTTTCCTTTAGAAAGCTGTACTTGGATATTCTACATTTCCAGATGTAATTTTGACTACATGTAACAATCCCTAAGCAAGTTATAGCCATTTATTACAACATTATATAGGCGATTTTCAGTGAAAAGCTGGTGTTTTTTATTTACTGACAATTTAGATGTGTCCAAAAAAGTGTAGGAAGTAAAATAAATAGAAACATTGTAATAGAACACTGAAGCAAAATAAACTTTATATGTATTAAAACACACACACACACACACACACACACACACACACACACACACACACACACACACACATAGCCTATATGAACTACTTTCACTTTACCTCAGTTCAAATTTCCAAAGAATGATGCTAGTTGTTCGTGCAAAAGACCAAGAACTATGTTTATTGGTTGAGTAGATGATAGTTTCAACCAATCTGGGCATGAGGGCGGGACTAAGCATCAACAGTCATTCATGATTGGCTCAGAGGAACAAACCGCACGGGTTTCTTTGACGAATCAATGCTGATCAAAACTTGATGACGCAATCACATTCACTACGGAGCTTCTGAATGTCCAAACGCGATTAACCCGATATCACAGAAAAGCCGTGAATCTCCTCTTTATGGGACTTTTTAAAGCATACGGATTGGAGTAGCGGTTCAAAAGTTCTTTAAAATTTAAGAACAACAGTTATTTTTAGCCGCCGGCGGCTGTATAGGTCTTTAAGGGTTAATGAAGATATTTTGAAGAATATGGGTAACTGAACAGTTGATGGGCCCCTGCTATGGAAGTCAATCTTCTTTTGTGCTTGATTTTTACAGGTTTGGAACAACTTGAGGGTGAGTAAATGATTGACAAAATTTGTATTTGAATATGTATATATGCAAATTTTGTAATAAACTCACCCTGAAGTTGTTTTAAACCTGTATGTATATGTATATACAGGTGCTGGTCATATAATTAGAATATCATCAAAAAGTTGATTTATTTCAGTAATTCCATTCAAAAAGTGAAATTTGGATATTATATTCATTCATTACACACTGACTGATATATTTCAAGTGTTCATTTCTTTTAATTTTGATGATTGTAACTGACAACTAATGTAAATATTGAAGACACCTGGTGCCACAGTCTAATCAGCTGATGAACTCAAAACACCTGCAAAGGCCTTTAAACGGTCTCTCAGTCTAGTTCTGTAGGCTACACAATCATGGAAGACTGCTGACTTGACACCTGTCCAAAAGACGACCATTGACCTCTTGCACAAGGAGGGCAAGACACAAAAGGTCATTGCTAAAGAGGCTGGCTGTTCACAGAGCTCTGTGTCCAAGCACATTAATAGAGAGGCGAAAGGAAGGAAAAGATGTGGTAGAAAAAAAAGTGTACAAGCAATAGGGATAACTGCACCCTGGAGAGGATTGTGAAACAAAGCCCATTCAAAAATGTGGGGGAGATTCACAAAGAGTGGACTGGAGTCAGTGCTTCCAGAACCAGACGTATGCAAGACATGGGTTTCAGCTGTCGCATTCCTTGTCAAGCCACTCTTGAACAAGACACCACGACAGAAGCGTCTCACCTGGGCTAAAGGCAAAAAGGACTGGACTGCTGCTGAGTGGTCCAAAGTTTTAGCAAAAATTTAGCATTTCCTTTGGAAATCAAGGTCCCAGAGTCTGGAGGAAGAGAGGAGAGGCACAGAATCCAAGTCGCTTGAAGTCCAGTGTGAAGTCTCCACAGTCAGTGATGGTTTGGGGTGCCGTGTCATCTGCTGGTGTTGGTCCACTGTGTTTTCTGAGGTCCAAGGTCAACGCAGCCGTCTACCAGGAAGCTTTAGAGCACTTCATGCTTCTGCTGCGGACCAACTTTATGGAGATGCAGATTTCATTTTCCAACAGAACTTGGCACCTGCACACAGTGCCAGCGCTACCAGTACCTGGTTTAAGGACCATGGTATCCCTGTTCTTAATTGGCCAGTAAACTCGCCTGACCTTAAAGGGTTAGTTCACCCCAAAATATAAACTCTGTCAGTAATGACTCTCCCTCATGTTGTTCAACCCCGTAAGACTTTCGTTCATCTTCAGAACACAGATTAAGATATTTTTGATTAAATCTGAGAGCTGGATCACTCCTCCATAGGCTTCTAAGGGATTGAAACTGGCCGGCCCAGAAAAGTTATGAAAGACATCGTTCAAATAGTCCAAGTGACTACAGTGGCTCGATCTTAAGTTTATCACACATCATATCACACAACTGATGAGATAATAAAATATTTCAACTTAAATCAATATTCAATGTCTAAATATTTACTTATGTGGCAAGCAGCCTTGTAAATATAATGCACATCCAGTCAGTTGTTATCGCAGAATAAACCCCGACAGGGTGATCAGGAGGAGTCTTGTATCACTCTGAAGGGTTTATATGTACATCATCCCTTTCTTATACTACATTTATAAACATCAAAGGATTATATTGTGCTTTAAAAATAAAAAGTAAGTACATGTATCCCACTCTCTCTCTTTCAGGTGTTCATACGTATCAGAGGATGTATGGCTGTGATTGGGATGATGAGACTGGAGACTCACATGGGTTTGATCAGTACGGTTATGATGGAGAGGATTTCATCTCACTGGACCTGAAGGAGAACAGATACACTGCGTCTGTACCACAGGCATCTCCTACAGTCATGAAGTGGAATAATGACAGAGAACAGCTTGAAATCTTACAACAATACTTGCGATATGAGTGCGTTTACTGGCTGAAGGAGCTCTTACATTTGTCTAAAGCTACTTATGAAAAAGCAGGTACATTATCAGAGTTACCAGGATTTATATATCAAATGTTTTTCTTTCATGTGAAGATCCTAGATAAAAATCTATGCAGGTCAACTTTAGAGATTGTTAAACTATGATAAGTAGAAAGTGCATGTGTTTCTTTCTCTGTTTTTCAGTTTTGTT